TAAAAGCTGGTCTGGGTGTTCTGGACCAAGCTGGGGTTCTGACCCCAGGCTTCTGCTCAACATCTCAAGGGAATGGTTACTAATTAGCTGGTCCCTTTTGCCCCGGGGGCCTCCCTTGGGCTGGGGGAGCTGCAGGAGCTCTTGTGGTTTCTGGTCATGGATGGAAATATTTATCCTTTCTGTGAGAAACAAGATAGGCACTGGCTCAAGCTCCAGCCAGGGCCTTCCTGTCGCTCTCGGCCACGTCTGTGGACTTCTCTGGGGTGCCAGCCCCCTTTCCGAGTTGGGCCGTTGATCTCAAGGCTGCTGGGAACCAGAGGCAGGGTGGGCTAGTGGTCAGGCTGGAGAGAAAGAAGGGATGTTCCACTTGCGACTGAATTCTCTGTGGCCTGGGTCAGATGCACACCGAGCCCTGCTTGGGGCTGCCTGGGGGTGGGAGTGGGGACCAGAAACTTGTCTATCAGGACTCCAGGTCCCTGCAGCTCTCTGGGGGCTCCTTAGGGGTGAGGCAGATGGGTGGAGAAGGATGGTGAGGCTGGCCTTGGGCACCTGCCTTTCCTAGAGGCCACAGAGGCTGTGCTTGGACCTGCTCTGCCTGTTGGGGTTCATGCCACCGCCCCTCGTGAAACCCTCTCGTGGGGTGAGGCCAGTGTGTCGAGTGCTGGTCTGCCCCAGGGCGAGGCCCAGAGGGGAGAGGCAACTTGCAGTTCACCCCCCTGCAAGCTGGGAAGGGCTGAATTTGAACCCAGGCTCTCGCCAAACCCCCCCCCACCCCGGGGTTCCAGGCCAGCACGCGTCCCCATGCATCAAAGGGAACGAATTGGGGCCCCCTCTCCTGAGCAGGAAGACCAGGAGGGCCGAGCAGGGCTCAGCAAGACAACCTCCTCTCTCCTGCAGTGCCTCCATTCGATGTGGCCCCTCTCAGCTGCATCTGTGAAGAGGGGCCCCAGGGGCCTCCCTGCAGGGCCCCACGCTGCTCCCTGCACGCCTGGGGCCGGCTCTTCACCATCTCCTTCCCGCTGGAGCGGAGGCTCCTTTCCCCCTCCTTCACCAGCGAGCGCGTGCTGAATGCCTCCCTCCGGCTCCTGAGGCGGCCGCCCCATCTCTGCTTCACGGGAGGCCGCCCCCTGGTGCCCCTGGGCGCCGTGGTCAGAGTCACTTACTGCTCGGGCCACTTGGTGAGTGGGAGCCCGGCTCAGCATCGGGGAGAGGCCGTGCTGAGGGTGTGTTTGGTGGGACCCCCATGGTGCCGAGAGGTCCCCCAGCTCCCTTCTGCCCAGCCAGATGTGCGGGAGGAC